AGATATTAGATATTTATCATGACATTGTTAGTTGGCAAATTATAGTTTTAAATTAACCAAAGTCTACGTGATACTATGATAGACTTTAATGCGGTTTTAAAATATTATCTACTAATAAACACTATCAAATCCAATAATTATTATCATTATTATTTTTATTATATGATTAATTGATATAAATTTGTATGTTATTGAGTTTTGAAACCAAATTTTGATACATGTCCACTGGTCTGCATGTTTATCTCCAAAAATTTGGTATGATTTTGGTTGGATAAATAACCAAATCACGATAAAAAATAAGAGCATGGTTTTAGTTAATTACGTAGTTAGAAAATTATGGACACGTTTAAAATGTTTGGAATAAGAGTTGTGTTTAAATAAATCTCTATATGTACATGATAAGAATTTAGATAAGACTAAAATCAAATTCAATTTCAAACAACCTATCGAAAAATTCAAATGATCCACGGGATATGTTGAAAATTTTCTAAATATTTTGATATGTTTATTTTTTTTAAGCGGGAATTCCTCTTATTTTTTACTTAGAATTGTTTAGATTCCCTCTTTATATATAATAAATTTGGATAAGACTTCAAATTAATTCCTAAATAATTTTTTTTTAAAAAATCTTAAAATAGTATGTAATAAATGCTTTCATAAATTTTTGATTATTATTTTTAGTAAACTAGTACGAATCCCGTGCGATGCACGGGTAAAAAATATTCATTAATATTTATAAATTAAAATTTTTTATTATATAATAAATTGAAATATGGAATCAAATATGTAATACAATGTACCTATATTAATTTATTGTAAATATTATATAAAATTTAAATTAAGCAAAATTACATAAAAATGTCTATTTTTAAAATTAGTACACAACTCGTGTCTTGCAAATAACTGATATGGAGAAAAAATTTGGGATTTGTAGTTAGATAAATATGGAAAAAAAAAATATTTAACAATTAAGTTGACATAACTTTTCAGAAATATTTTAAAAAATTTCAAATGTTTTATATGGTAAATGATTGACCGGAATTTTGTAATCAAATTTATACGTTTGACCGAAAAATATAAGAAAATGATTGATCTATTTTTTTGGGATATTTTAATGATTCTTACTAAAAAATCTCATATTTGTCATAATTTGAATTTCAAATTCAAAGTTAGCCACCCAATTTCCAAAAAAAAAAAAAGAAAAATATCAATAATAGTAAAATCATATTATTTAGGCGAGAATTTACATATGAGTAAATCCCTATCATTTTTTATATTAGTACATAAATTTATCTTAAGTTTCCTAACATATAATTATCTACCAAAGATCCACATAATATGAGATTCTTTCTAAATTTTAAAAAGATTATGTAGTAAGATAAATATGGACAAAAATATCGTTAATTAAGTTGAAGAATCCGAATAGATTTTTTTTTTCCGAAATTAACATTCTGTATTAGATAAACACGTCTATTTAATTGTGACCATAAAATATGGAAATATGGATCAATAAACATTTAACAATTAAGTTGACATGACTCTTTTAAAAGACTTCAAAAAATTCCAAACGTTTTAATTGGTAAATGATTGACCGGATTTTCGTAGCCAAATTTAGCCATTTCAAATAATTATATGTTTTTCAAGACATTAAACAAATTGCTTTAAGTGATGCGATTTAACTTTGCTAGAGGCTTATCTATCTATATATAAAAAGAATAACATTTTTATAAATTCCCGCCATATTTACCCGCCAAATATTTATTGTGTTCAGCCGCCATTATTTATTATGTTCAGCCGCCATTTTTTTGTACCAAAACTAAATATTTATATTTGTTTTACCTGATTTTTAGGTAATAAAAAACGCAATTGATAATTGTTACCATTAAATGTAAAAAAGTCGGTTGTATCATATTTATTTATTTTCTTTTTTCCTTTTTTTCGTACTCTAAAACTAAAATATTTTTTTTTGTTTTACCTTTTTTTTTTT